CATAGCAAGTTCTCTGATCCTCTCCCCATTCTGGTCCTTGTCTTCTGGACACATTCCTCTGGATACACTGTCCACACCTTTTCTAAAATGTAGTGCCCCAGAATGAACATAATCCTCCAGATGGGGCCTGGCCAAGGCAAGATGTTGCAGAACTACTGCTTAAAGGAGTCTGGGGTGCAGGCATGGAAGAGAACACTGAAGATTCTGAGAGAGGACAGAGAGAGAAGAGCTGAGGAGGCTGCATCCTAGTCTTTCACAGAGGAGATGTCGCTGAAAGGATGGAAAAAATCTCAGGACCTGTCTACATTTTCCATATAAAAATTGGTGCACCAGACAGTTGTACTATGGAGAAGGGAAGCAAGTGGAAAAAGACAAGGGTTGAGGGGTTTGGGGGGAAATTTTTTAAGCTCCATTGGGATCAAAAGAAGAAAGATGGGAGAGGACTTGGTCTGAAGGGTCTGTTAGCAGAAAATGATAAAGAACAGAATTATTCAGCTCTTTCCTTGCCTTTCCACACAGTGCTGACTCCAACATGCTTTGAAGGGTTCAGGTGTTCTTCCCCAGAGCAGGCTCATTCAGGATTGTCTCTAGACCAGCCTGGAGCTGGGGAAAGAGGATTGAGTTTGGAATGATAGAATGGAGGTGCAAATCTCAATTTTGTTACTTCTTTTCTTTATGAGCTTGGAGGAACCTCTCAACATCGTTGGCCTTCAGCTTCCTGCTCTGTAAAATGAAGGAGATTATCTCTAAGATCCTCTCCAGGGGTAACTTTATACTATCTTTAAAGTTTGGAGTGTAGTAGTTTCCTAGATGGGGTGATGAGACAAGAAAGAGGGAAAATCCCACCAAATGTGCCCAGGTTCTTTGTTTCTGAAAAAAAGGTCAGTGGGGATTCACACCTTCATATTTCAGGCAGTTCAGAACCAACCTTGGGCTGAAATAGTATTCCTTCCCATTTTATTAAGCTGTTTCCTTTTATTGTTATTGAGTTGTGTCTGACTCTTTGTGACCTCATTTGGGGTTTTCTTATCAAAGAAACTGGAGTGATTTGCCATTTCTTTCTCCAGCTCATTTTTCAGATGAGGAAAATGAGGCAAAGACTTGCCCAGGGTCACACAGCTAGTAAATGTCTGAGGCCTGGATAGGAACCCTGAGCTCTAACCACTGGGGAACTAGCTGCCCCTTTTAAGGTAAGAGAAAGTCTTCTACTCTGATTCCAAATTTTATTTATTGGACTCTAATTCAGTTCTTATTCTTGGATCCCTTGCTTATCTACACAGCCTGGGAAGGTTATAAAACTTGCCTGAGTCACAGCTGGGATGGAGGTCAGTAAAACTGAGGTGGCAACACACCCCTCCCCAATCAGTCTGCAGATTTCTTCACTCCTCAGACAGCCTCAATTTTGGGTGAGGACACTGTCTTCCTCACTTCTAAGGAGGGGAAAGGGTCACACTGAGGAGGGGGGCTGGGGTTGGAAGGCAAGCAAAGGAGGGTTAAGGGCTGGGACCTTCTTTTTCTCTAGTTCAAGCTGGGAGCACAAGAGCTTCGGGTTCCTGGAGTGATGATGGTTGGGAGGGAGACTCGGGCGCTCCATAGATTCAGAGGCTGTTCTGGGAATGACACAGAAAGGGCGAAGGACTTTCCTCCGAGTCAGTTTCAGTTTTGGTCTCCTAACCTGTGCGGGCTCATTCTGCCCAGTCACCAATGACGTTTCTTTTCTTCTCGTTTGCTATTGGCCGGCAGAGCCTCCGTGGAGCCAACCACAAGTCAGGGATTCGCCCCTCTACCAACCCGGCGGAGACCGGTCTCGGTGATCCTGGCCTTCTCTGCCTGGACCATGGAGCCGTGTCTGCGCTCTCTCTTTTTGTTGGGGACCCTGGCCCTGCCGGAGACCTGGGCAGGCAAGTAGAGAACAGACCTAAGCGGCCGCCTGGGGACTGGACAGAGCATTGGGGGGTGGACGTGTGGGTGGGATGGGGGTTTCCTACAGAAAGCGCCTCCGGCACCAGCCCAGGGTGGGCTTCCGGGGAGGCGGATCCTTAATGTCAGCTGAAGTCAGGGTGGTGCTGAAAGGAAGCAACCGAGAGAGAGGGAGGGAGGGGGGGGGGGGGGGGGGGGGGGGGTGGGGGGGGGGGCGTGGGTGGGGGGGGGGGGAGGGGATTGGTGGGTGCGGGTGAAGACGAGGGGCGCTGAGGCAGGTCTGCCGGGAGGGAGAATGGGTGCGACAGTCCTGGGGGCGTTAAGGAGCAGAGCCGTCCGGGAGCCCCCAACATCCAAGGCCAAGGACAGAGAACCAGGAGCAGCTTCGTTAAAGAGCTTCACGGAGGATCTTGGGGGGCGGGGGGATGAGGCCGGGGGCAGGCGAGGACCCAAGGTGGGGGCTGGGGGTGAGGAGTGCGGGAGACCGGGGAGCAGGACCAGAGGTGGGGGCGGGGAGGGAACAAGGTCGGGTTAGGGGGGCACTAGGACCTGCCTGGGTTGTCAGGGAAGGTGTTTTGCTGTAGTCTCCAGAATTATCACCTCCCGGCGCGGCGCGCCATCAGTGTTGGGGGCGATGGGGCCGGATACCGGGGGTTAGGAGTCCGGGGTCACATCCTGGGCGCGACGGGGTCAAAGGTCCCACCTAGGTAGACACGGGGTCGGCGGTCACACCCCGGTTGTGTTGAGGTCAAGGGTCGCGCCTTCGGTCAGCACGGGGTCAGGGGCCGCACCCCGCCTTGGCCGCAGACAGGGCGTGTCTACGCGGTCACCGCCCTGACCCCTGACCCCGGCCCGGGTGCCCACGTCCAGGCTCTCACTCCATGAGGTATTTCTACACCGCCATGGCCTCGCCCGAGCTCCCGGAGCCGCGGTTCCTCGTCGTGGGCTACGTGGACGATCAGCAGTTCGTGCGCTTCGACAGCGCCCGCGCAAATCCGAGGATGGAGCCCCGGGCGGCGTGGATGGAGCGGATGGACCGGGAGGACCCGGGCTACTGGGAGGGGCAGACCCGGATCTGCAGGGCGCACACAGAGAGGTCCCGAGCGGACCTGAAGACCCTGCGCCGCTACTTCAACCAGAGCGAGGGCGGTGCGTGACGTGGGGGAGGGGAAACGGAGGGGGGGCGGGGGGCCCCGGGGGGGGGGGGGACGGGGGGGGGGGGGGGGCAGGGAGCAGCCCGAGTCCGGCGCTGACCCGGGCGGGGGGCGGGGCAGGGGTCCACACCCTCCAGGCCATGTCCTGCTGCGAGGTCTCCCCCGAGCTCACCTTCCAGCGTGGGTATCTACAAGACGCCTACGACGGGCAGGACTACCTGACCCTGGACTTGGAGACCTCCACGTTGATTGCGGCGGTGCCGCAGGCTCTGAACACCAAGCGCAAGTGGGAGGCGGACAGGAGCTTCGTGGAGGAACTGAAAGCCTACGTGGAGGTGGAGTGCGTGATGTGGCTGAGGAAGTACCTGGAGATGGGGAAGGAGACGCTGCAGAGAGCAGGTACCCCCGCCCCCCGCAGTGTGCGCGGCACTCAAGGCCCCCGCTCCCCTTCTCCCCCTTTCTTGCAGCCCCAGCCCCAGTCTCCCCGCCCCCAGGCACCCCTTGCACCCCAGACCCCACCCATCCTTGTGTCTCCGGAGGGGAGGGGGGAAAGGAGAGCCTGGAAATAACGCTGACCTTTGCCTCCAGATCCGCCCTCCACCCGAGTGACCCGCCACACTGGCACCGATGGGGAGGTGACCCTGCGGTGCCGGGCCCAGGACTTCTACCCCGCGGACATCTCCCTGACCTGGCTGCGGGATGGGGAGGAGCAGCTCCAAGACACGGAGTTCATTGAGACCAGGCCCGCGGGGGACGGGACCTTCCAGAAGTGGGCAGGTGTGGACGTGACCTCGGGCCAGGAAGGGAAGTATACCTGCCGAGTTCAGCACGAGGGACTGCCTGAGCCCCTCAGCCTGAAGTGGGGTAAGGACCGTGAGGAGGGGCTGGTAAAGGCCATCCCCCAGACCCCCAAAAGCCCAGAGGGAGGTGGGGTGACTGGGGAGGTGGGGGAGGGGTCAGTGAATCTCAGGCCTCAGAGGGATCAGGGCCTCTCATTGCTCTTTTCCATTTCAGAGTCAGAGTCCTCATCCCCCTGGTTCATTGTGGGGGTCATTGCTCTCCTCCTCCTCCTCCTCATTGCAGTCATTGCTGGAGCTGTGATCTGGCAGAGGAAGAATTCAGGTGGGCAGGACTGGGAGGGGGTCCTTAGGGAGCAGGCACCATTTAGATTCTGGCTTCCCCTGAACTGCAGCTTGGCTTTCTGTCCCCAGGTCTTCTCTTTCCCACCTAAGGGGCTTTCAGATGGACCCTAAGACTCTAGATGAACAAATGGAAACCATTTTTCTGGAGGATGCCAGGCAGGGTGTAAATGCATGTGGGGATCTCTGCCAGAGGGCCTGGGTGTCTCCCCAGCTGGCGGTTGTAGACCAACCTTGAGAACCCCTGGAGGCGGGCCTGAAAGTGGGGAAGTGCCCATTTGGGGGGCCTCTGCTCTCTTCCTCTTGAATCCAGAGGCTACACTGGAGTGGGGGAGGGGAGTGCAGTCCCAGTTGTAATTTATTGCGTCTCCAAGACAAACCAGTGAACTCCTGAGACCTTAGTGTGGTCTCTCCTGGATTCCTCACTGGAAATTTTTTCTTTTCCAGGTAGAAGAGGAGAGAATTATGTTCAGGGCTGCAGGTAAGTGAAGGGTGGTCATGGAGGGTAGAAAGAATGGCCCAGACCATGATATCTCTGGAATCTGAGCAATGGGAAAGCAGAGGAGAGGCTTAGCCCAGTAGCCTTGCCTTAGTGTCCCCTTCCCTTCCCATACCCCGGTTCTGGAATGTATGTCCCTGACTGGGTCGTTTCCCTCCTCTGTCTCCAGGCAATGACAGTGCACAGGGGTCAGATGTCTCTCTCCCAGCCAAAGGTGAGACTCTGGGGGCCTGGAAGGAGAGAGGGGCTGGGGTAAAGGGGGCCAAGCACAGAGGAGGGTGTGTGAGAGGTTGGGCTGAGGACTGGATGGGTGGTGAGGCAGGTCCTTCAGAATGATGAGAGACTGGAGGCAGAGGGGACTTGGAGGGTCTCCCTGAATCTGTCTTTCCTTCTTCATCTTGAGAGAATTGCCTGGTGTGGGCCTGAGGAAGAAAACCAGTCTCCAGTCCCTGTGTTGTTTCTCTGGACCCCTGGCTTCTCTCCCCAGCATGGCCCCTGGGATCCTCCCGGAACTCTACTGAGCTTAAAGGGAGTGGAGCCATCTTCTTCTTTGAGCCTGAAACTTCCTCTGGAGGGTTGTACATGGAGAACTTGTCTTTTCTCACAAGACTTCCTGTCCCCACGTGGCTTACAAGGAGCAGGACAAAAGTACTGCTTTTATATCTCTGATGAATAATTTTTTCACCGAAATATGAAACATCTCTTATAGAACTGGGGTTGCTTTTCTGGCCCTGGTCTCCAAACTCTGTGACCCCCAGAGTCCAGTTTTCCAAATCCCCCTCTTAACCATTACAGGTGTTCATAAGCAGGAGGGGCTGCTCCAGGAGGCCCAGCCTTGGAGGAACTGAGTGGTGAACCCTTGTGGGCTTTGTTAGAGTGTTGACTCCATGCAGGGGTAGGTTTGACCAGAGGGCTCAAATGCACAGCCTGCTGCCTGGCTACAGTGTGGTGGAATGCTTTGGAACCATATTAAAGTGTCTTTGGGAAATATTTAACAAAGGCATAAAAATTTAATAAAGCAGATAACATTTCATTTTAAACTCAGTCAGTGTGTGGCCTGCAGTGATCCTTAAGTACAGATAATGTGGCTCCTCTTTCTATTTGGGGGCAACCAGGTGGTGCAGTGGATGTAGTGTTCAAATCTGGCCTCAGACAGTTACTAGTTGTGTGATCCTGGACAAGTCACTTCACCCTATTTGCCTCAGTTCCCCCATCTGTAAAATGAGCTGGAGAAGGAAATGACAAAGTCCTCCAGTATCTTTGGCAAGAAAACCCTAAATGGGGTCACAGAGTGTTGGACGTGACTGAAAAGGACTGAATAATAACAACAAATTTCTGTTTCAGTTTGACATCACTGGTTAGACTAGCTGATCTCTGAGGGCCCAAAGGACTCCCAAATTCTGTGATGTTGATTTTCCCTAAACTTATGGTTGATTCATATCAAGGAGTTCCCTGGCTCTTTGCTACTAGTCACTCAATACACATAGGACCATGGAAGGATGTTGAGACTTCCAGCAATTGTTGGGTCAACATCCTTTATTTTTTTTTTTATTTTTTACTTTTTGAAATACATTTATTTATTTTAGTTTTCAACATTTCAACATTTACTTCCACAAGATTTTGAGTTCCAAATTTTCACCCCATCCCACCCCTCCCCCCACCCCAACATGTCATGCATTCTGAATACCCCTTCCCCTAGCCTGCCTTCCTTTCTATCTCTCCCTCCCTTCTCTTATCCCCTTCCCCTTCTATTTTCCTGTAGGGCAGGATAGATTTCTGTACTCCATTTCCTGTATTTCTTATTTCCCAGGTGCATGTCAAAACATTTTTTTTAAACGTGTTTTTAAAACTTTCTGTTCCAGATTTTCTCCCTTCCTCCCTCCCCACCCACCTTCATTGAAAAGGCAAGTAACTCAATATAGGTTATACATGTGCAGTTATGCAAAACACTTCCATAGTAGACATGCTGTGAAAAACTAACACTATTTCCCTTAATCCTATCCTGCCCCCCCATTTATTCTATTCTATCTTTTGACCCTGTCCATCTTCAGAAGTACTTGTTTCTGATTACCCACTTTCCCAATCTTCTCTCCTCTCTATCATCCCCCTACTCTCTTGTCCCCTTCCCCGCCTATTTTCCTGTAGGGTAAGACAGATTTCCATACCCAATGGAGTATGTATATTATTCCCTCCTAAAGTCAAATGCTATGAGAATAAGATTCACTCATTCCCTCTAACCTTCCCCCATTTCCCTTCTACTATAAGAGCCTTTTCTGGGTTTTTTTTTTTTGGTGAGATAATTTACCCCATTCTACCTCTCCCTTTCTCCTCCTCCTAGTATAATCCTCTCTCACCCCTTAATTTTATTCTCCAGATAAAGTCACCCTGTGCCCTCTATCTATTTATCTATCTCTATCTCTATCTCTATATCTATATATACATACATATAATTTTTTCCTTCCAACTACCCTAATACTGACAAAGGTCTCATGAGTTACAAATATCATCTTTCCATGCAGGAATGTAAACAGTTCAACCTTAATAACTCTCTTATGATTTCTCTTTCCTGTTTACCTCTTCATGTTCCACTTGAGTCTTGTATTCAAAAGTCAAATTTTCTATTCAGCTCTGATCTTTTCATCAAGAATGCTTGAAAGTCCTCTATTTCACTGAATGACCATTTTTTCCCCTGAAGGATTATACTCAGTTTTGTTGGGTAGATGATTCTTGTTTGTAGTCCTATCTCCTTTGCCCTCCAGAATATTATATTCCATGCCCTGTGGCCCCTTAATGTAGAAGCAGCTAAATCTTGTATTATCCTGATTGTGTTTCCACAATACTTGAATTGTTTTTCTGGCTGCTGGTAATATTTTCTCCTTGACCTGGGAACTTTGGCATTTGGCTACAATATTCCTAGGAGTTTTCCTTTGGGGATCTCTTTCAGGAGGAGATTGGTGGATTCTTTCCATTTCTATTTTGCTCTCTGGTTCTAAAATATCAGGGCAGTTTTCCTGGATAATTTCTTGAAAGATGATGTCTAGGCCCTTTTTTTGATCATGGCTTTCAGATCATCCAATAATTTTTAAATTCTCTCTCCTGGATCAATTTTCCAGGTCAGTTGTTTTTCCAATGAGATATTTCCCATTGTTTTCTAATTTTTCATTCTTTGGGGTCTGTTTTACAGTGTCTTGATTTCTCATAAAGTCACTAGCTTCCAATTGCTCTATTCTAATTTTTAAGGAAGTATTTTCTTCAGTAATCATTTGGACTTCCTTTTCCATTTGTCCAATTTTGCTTTTTAGGGCATTCTCCTCATTGATGTTTTGGACCTCTTTTGCCGTTTGGGTTAGGCTATTTTTTGAGGTGTTATTTTCTTTAGTATTTTTGGGGTCTCCTTTAGCAAGCTATGGACTTGTTTTTCATGATTTTCTTGCATCACTCTCATTTTTTCCTCTACCTCTCTTACTTGCTTCTCAAAATCCCTTTTGAGCTCTTCCAAGGCCTGGGACTAGTTTATATTTTTCTTGGAGGCTTTGGATGTAGGAGCTGTGACTTTGTTGTCTTCTGGTTGTATGTTTTGATCTTGTCACCAAAGTAAGAAATGTTTGCGCTGCTTACTCATGATCCTGCTCAATTACTTGAGTTTTAAACTCTTTGTTAAGGTAAGAGTCTGCTTCCAATGTGGAGAATATACTGTCCCAAGCTTTGGGGGTTTATACAACTGTTTTCAGAGCTACTTCTAGGGACCTGTAAATTTTCAGTTCTTCCAAGGTGATATGATAAGGGGCGAGGTTTTTCTTCTCCACCAGCACAACAAGGTCCACCATGCCAGCGCTCCTCCTCGCCCCGGGACTGCCCCTCAGAACTGTGACCCAGATCTAAGCATGGGCAGAGCAAGAGATTCCTGCCTCAGCACTGGCAAAGAGATCCCTGCAATCCCCCTCTAATAAGACACTCGATTACCGCTCAGTCTGTGGGCCGGAAGCTCAGGAGGCAGCCACTGCCCTGGGGGGGGAGGGGTATCTGGCTTCTGCCTCTCACCACAGTCACAGACTTTTCCCACTGACTTTCTAAGTTGTCTTTGGCTTTCATGGGTTGAGAAGTCTGGATACCGCCACAGCTGCCTGTGATTCAGTCCTCTGAGGCCTGCTCCAGGGTCGCTGAGGCCTGCGTGCCCACGCCAAACTGCGCTCCTCTCCCCGCCTGGCGCAATATACCTTTCTGATCAACCATCCAGGTTGTCTTGGGCTGGAAATTTGTTTCACTCTGTCTTTTTGTGGGTTCTGCTGCTTTATGATTTGTTTAGAGCCATTTTTTACTGGTATTTGGAGGGGTTTGGGGGAAAACTCAAGCAAGTCACTGCTTTTAGTCCACCATCTTGGCTCTGCCCCCCCCATACTTTCTTTTTCTTATCTACTTAGGTGTACTACAACCTGGTAGCAAAGACTGCTGCGTTGTCATCAGTATTTTTATCTCTTCTGTCTAAATATAGCCACTTAGCAATAATGAAAAATATTTTTGTCCTAAAATATAAATGTTGTTAGTAATTTCTGAAATAAATACTAGCTTTAGTATATGAAATTACATTTGTTTTTGCTTAATTTAAAAAATTGATGTTCATACTTACATCCACATACAGCAGTGATGGTGAATAAATATTATTAAAGGGTTTTTGTCTTTACTGGCTGCAATTAAACACTGATGTTTCTGTAAAAAGAGATAACAGCAATTTTTAAAATCAAACATTCTAATCCAATCCAATCCAATGATATACTAATTTGATGCTTACATGCTGAGGAATGATGGTAGGAAAATTTTAGAAGTTTTTATTTTCTGTAATTATTATGTCTCTGTAAGAGTAGAAAACTTTGTATGAACAGTAAAAACACTGCAATTCATAACATACAATATTCTCGAATCGGGGCTGAGGTGTTTCTGACAGCGTTTTTTGGCGTTGTGTGGTGTGATGGCATGCACAGTACAAAGTGCTCATGTGGTGTGTTCAGAACCAAGGCTGCAGCAAAGTTCCATGATGCACCATGGGCAAGCACTGCCAAAAACATCTTAGATTCATTATGTATTTGATTTTGATTTAATTTTTGGTCATTGTGCGTTCAGAGACCTTTTACCGTTGTCAAATTTTTCTTGACCTCCACATTCAGTTACATGACTCCACGTGGGGTTGCAACCCACAGTTTAAGAAGTGCTGCACATAGACAGTGACAAAATGGACCATTTCACAGGAAACCATTTCAAAAACCACTGATGCAGGTAGCAAAGTGAGCCAATATGGGAGAGCGAGAGAGCCATGCTGTGCAGAGAAACTGCTTGAAGAGACTGTTTGTGCCTAATCTGTAGTAGACCATTCCGAGCTCTTGGTGGCCTGATCAGGCATCGCTGGACACACTGTAACTTGACTCTACCATAGAGACATCATTGTGGTCCTCTTCAAGAATGAAGTACAACCACCAACCAATTGTTTTATTCTTTTTTTTTCTTCATGGGGACAGGATGGAGTATGAGAAGGGATGAATTATTAAATAGTGGATTAAAAAAGTGAAAGGGTATAATAAATTCTATAAGTCATTAAAGAAAGGAAGAAATAGAGGGGAGAGAGAGAAAAGAGAGGAAGGGAGAGAGAAAGGCAGAAAGAGGAGAGGGAAGGAGGAAGAGAGAGAAAAAGGGGAGGGGAGGAGCTCAAGTTGATTAAAATTAAGATCACTCCTGAACACCAGGTTTTAGAAAAAGAAAATGGAAACTCCTGAGGCAAGATCCAGTGGGTCTTCAGAATTCAGACTTATCATCAAAATCCCAATACTTTAACTGTTGTGTGTGTGTGTGTGTGTGTGTGTAACTGATTCTGTTTGGGTTGTTTTTTTTTTTTTGACTAAACCTTTGGTAAATGGTTGAATATCAGTTATCCCCCTTAACTGAAGGTTTGTCCTAAGAACAAATAGAAAGGGGTTCACCTTACCAAAGGTTTGACCAAGGAACAAACAGGATCAGGCTGTACATGTGCTATAATGAGCTTGTTTACTCTCATT